ATTATAAATATATCAATTCATGTGAATATGACTGAAATTGTTCATATTTTCTGAAAAGATGTTGTCTATTTACTTGTAACCACGCTGTGTATAGAGATATGCGATGCAACAAGATCATTAACCGCTCCAAGATGGCCGTCTCGTGACACGTGCTCAGAGCCCAAGTTTCATTTATAGCATGACAGCTGGAATACCCGTCTGTTGAATGGGTGAAATAAATACTAGATTGTAACAAAGGATACGAAATTGTGCTTCTGTTTTTTATTCTTTACATAATAAACATTAAAAGTGCAATAAAAATACATAAAAGTACCAATACTGAAAAGAAAGACATACTGTTTTCAAGAAGTCTATCAACATGAAATTAGATGGGGAGGGGTCCAACCCCCTCATTTCATCTTGTATCACTGTGTCAGGTTGTGCTGATTTGTTAGTTTTTCCGCAATTAGATGAGGGTTCCAACTCCACCCCCACCCCCCATGTCATCCTGTATCATTGTGTCAAGTTTGGTGCTGATTAATCAAAAAATCTGGAAACGTATAAGGAACATACACACGCACTATATTGAGGTTTATTTATACAGATTATTGGATATATGGTACTAAAACCCGAAAAGATTAGTAAGTTACATTTCACAATCTAGTATTAAGTATAATGTCGTAAATTTAGGTTTATCTGCGCCTGAAGTTGTAAAATCTAAAAATGTCCAGTCCCAACTTATATAATTAAAATAAGTATCACTTATTGATTGCTATTTTACTGGCTGATTTATCTTCCTTTACTATTTAGAACATTGTTTGTTTTCTTGAAGTTAAGCACAAAGCTATACAATGGGCTATCTGTGCTCTGCCCACCCTGGTCATCGAAACACGGTTTCTAGCGTTGTAAGTTCGCAGACATGCCGCTGTGCCATTGGGGGGCCTATTTAGAAGAACTAGTATTATGATATAAGCAATAACAAACCCTTAGTATTTGAAATAAAATAATTTAAAAATTCAACTTTAAATTTACACAATACACTTCTAGCAGTATTTTGTAGCTTATACACATACTCGTGAATGTTGAAATTTTACTTGGACAAATTTAGTATTTTGGCGTTGAAAGTTCTTGTGATTAAAAATTTTTTTATGAGAGTGTATTAGATGTTGCTTAAATTGTTTGATTAGCGTCTAGAGACAATGGCAAAGGAACCGTGAGAGCAATCCCCGTCACACCAAACATGCTCGCCCTTTCAGCCGTGGGGGCGTTATAATGTGAAGGTCAACCCCACTATTCGTTGATAAAAGAGTAGCCCAAGAGTTGGCGGTGGGTGGTGATGACTAGCTGCCTTCTCTCTAGTCTTACACTGCTAAATTAGGGACGGCTAGCGCAGATAGCCCTCGTGTAGCTTTGCGCGAAATTCAAAAACAAAAACAAAGTAACAAAACCGTGAAATCACGAGGAGTGCTCGAGCCCCATAGGTTTATGTAGAGGAGCACGCAAGAGCGGCATGGGTCACCCTCAAATAGAGGAATTCGTACGAAGACCAAATGAACAACGAAATTTCCATTCAGAGATTCTAAATTTACATTCTTCAATTTTTTCAAAAAAAATCTATATATTTATATATTGGTGCTCATTAATAGAATCTTTCAAGTGTAAGTGATGCTTGACAGTTTGAATTAAAAATACTTTCCTATGCCACTGTCTACAAAATAAATGTTTACACAATTAATCGTACAAACTTCTACAGTTTTCTTCAAATTTTTCCTTCACACGTAACGTACCCATGACACTAATTTGGGGCCTATGGTACATTATAAGAGTAAAGGTCAAATCTCACTATTCAATCAAAGTAGCCCAAGGGTTGGCGGTTGGTTTTCTTGATTAACTTCCAAGGATCAAGTGTATCAGTTCATGAACAGGGACGACTAGCGCAGCAAGACCTTTTGTCGGTTCGCGCGAATATCAAAAACAAAACACACAAAATCCCACGTATATCTTGTAAAACATTCGATGTTCCCCCTTACTTTCATAATGAACTCATCCATTTAGTCCGTATGTCAGTATTGTGATTCATACTTTACTGATACTGTTTTCACGTGTGTCGGCGTGACTTAGACATAGCTGATCTACCTGGTACGTTTCGACTTTCATCGTGTCAGTTATTGTTATAACCTTTTGCTGATTTCAGTCATAAAAGTACTACTAAGAAAACTATTTTTGGGTCTTAAAAGATTGACTTGCAGCGTGAAAATATCAGGTAGGAAATTTTACTTTATTATAACTTTTTTCTCTCTAGTTTTGTTAGATTGCGCTACGTGCTTTATGAAGTAAAACTATGTATAACCATCCAAAAATAAAGCGTATTGTTTGACTTAAGAAAGTTTGTGTAAAACTTAACTTGGCCTTTTGTTCTCCGTTAATAATAATAATGCATTATTCAACTGAAGTTTTGTACTTGTCGTTTGATTTAAAAAAAAAAAATACAGAAGCTGAATTAGACAAACTTTCACGAAGTCACTCGGCGACATGGACAGCTCAGTAACAATCCAACTAAGACTAGGAGAACCGAGATGTTTTTCAGTTGTAAAATTGTGTTACGCGTTACTTTGGACTGAATAAATAAATGTTCATTCTCTTGGTAAGGGTTTGCGTAGCATTAGCATTATTAGATGTTGCCTTTCTGTAAATCCATGGTAGGACACGCGTTAGCATTAAACTAAAACAAATATTATCGCGTCATAAATTAATAATCATATACGTGTGACATTAGTAGAAATTATAACAATGTAATGTTTTACGATTAATATCTCGTTATATTTTATCATGCGTAAAGCTAGCAAGTATCAATATCTATGTTTTTCAGTTTATACGTGTTTTTACTTCATATATTTTCTCTGTAAGAAATAAATTCGAGTGATGTGTGATGTGCAGTGGTTTAGGTCTTTAGGATATTAGCTTCTGCTTGTGGTCAAGTAGTGTTTGATACAGAGCTATATATATCAAGCTGTTTTGTTTCCTTCGTGTTTGAAATAGCACTGCACAAAGGGAGGATAAACTAACATTCTTTATCCTTGTTTATGAGGGAGGAATCAAATGTATAAAAATTCTTAAGAAAGTAACTTTCAGTGGCATTTAATGATTTATACTTTTGTGTTTAGAATGACCACATTTGTGTACTTAAGAACTTGGTTTCTGATCAAACATAAGTAAATTATATATATGAGAACTTAACCTGTATAAGTAATTGGTTAGAAATACGTGATGTTGCACATTGATGATTTCTAAAACTAAAATGTACATTGATTCGAATGCATTGAATCGTCAGCTGGGTATTCTCACTATTATTAATAAGGTTTTTGTCCGTAATTCCAAATCACTTTAAACGGGGTTCAGCCAGCTTAACAAATGTAGGTTATTCCAAAATCTTATACCAAGCTAATAATGCTAAATAATCTTCGTAACTGTTTCGCAAAGTTTTGTCATCGACCTCCTCCTCCCACCCTGGCTCTGCATGGTCGCGGGTTCGAATCCCCGTCACACCAAACATGTTGGCCCTTTCAGCTGTGGGGGCGTTATAATATGGCGTTCAATCCCACTATTCGTTGGTAAAAGAGTAGCCCAAGAGTTAGCGGTGGGTGGTGATGACTAGCCCTTCCCTTTCACTACTAAATTAGGGACGGCTAGCGCAGATAGCCCTCGTGTAGCTTTGCGCGAAATTCAAAACAAACAACATCCCCATTGATAAATATGGTTTCTGGCGCGCCCCTCTTTTATTTAAAGAAGTGAGAGACTGAGTTAAGTGATGAGATATAATACACGGATGCACATTAAAATACTGTAAATGTTGTAGTACGTACTTATTTTCATTGATAAAACAAATTTATCAAAACGCTTAATTTTGCATTATTGACTCTACCCTAATCGTTCAAGCTCCCTCCCTCCCCTCACACTTTTGAAAACGTTGCTGTAAACCATCAGTTAAATATATATATTCAAAATTATTATAAATATTATAGTCGTAAATATAATGAAGCTACCTGGGATAAAAATGGGGTGGCTCGCGAGATCCACGCAACTTACCATTACTAGTAGTACATTAAAGGTGAATATATGCATTCTAGTATTTGCAGTTATACACATACAATAACAAAAGAAATTGCAAAAAATAAAGAAATTAAAAAGCATGAAGTACACTACCAGTGATTTGGTCTGATACCCTGGGTAAATGTGACACCATTATAAACAAATCTATAATCCTCTCAAGCAATAGAAAACAACCAAGAAGAACCGATTTCTTAACACTGACAACAAGTGGTTTCTAGCGTGTGTTACTGTATACAAAAAGAATATAATGGGAAGATATAGAATATAAAGCCTAAAACTTGCATGTAGTAACGACATATAATTCTTGGAGACGGCTTGAATGGGTAATGAAGAAAAACTTTAAGTGTAACATATCAGCAAATGTACAACGTTTCGAGAAGGTTTTGTCATCATCAGGTACCTGTTAAACTTATATTAAAGTTTTTCTTCATTACCCATTCAAGCCGTCTCCAAGCATTATTAGTCTCAAAGTGGGTTCCTCGTCATTGAATTAGTAATGACATGTATGTATTACAACAATAAAATGTAGGTTCAGTAAATTTGAAGTATTGACAATTAAATCGGCCAGGTGGTTAGGGCGCTCGAGTCGCAATCTGCAGGTCGCGGGTCCGAATCCCTGTCCCACCAAACATGCTCGCCATTCCAGCCGTGGGGGCGTAATAATGTGACGGTGAATCTCACTATTAGTTGGTAAAAGAGTTGGCAGTGGGTTGTGATGACTAGCTGCATTCCTTCTAGTCTTTCACTGCTAAATTATTAACGGCTAACGCAGATAAGTCCTTTGCGCTTAATTCAAAATAAACCAAACATTTAAATCAGTCAAAAGTAATGCAATGCTAATTTATCTGTGAAACTTTTTTTTTGCAGTTAAGGCTGTTGTATTTGTCGCATTAGATAAAGGTTGTCGTTAAAAGTGTATTTTATTATGGCAATTCGTGACATTAAATCATCGCTTTTTCTCACCAGTTAGCGTTCTCTAATTATCTTCATTTATATAATTAGACTAATGAAATAAGTGCTTTTAACATTTATGAGAAGGATCTGTTAAGTGAAAGCTGTTGAAATCGAAGAGTTTTGAACAACAACTATTACTGTATTACGGTGTATTGCTCGGATTCACATTTTGATTTTTAAGATTAAAAACTTTTATCAAGAGTCTTTTAGATTGTAAATTTAACAATGCGTGTTTGTTTTCAGTTATCACGTATCAGGTACATTGTTTGTCAACTTTCTTTTGCCATGTATTTACCTTTCTAATCAACAAACTCAAGACAACTCTGGAAGGGGTTGCCCATTCTTCTTCTTTTTCTACTAGCCTGACATCAGTAAAACTGAAGAGCATGCGCACATATACATGATTGATGGTTGATTGAAACATTTTAGGAGCAATCTGTAGATGTTATTATCTTAAACTTGTTGGTGTGTAGCTGAAACTTTTAAGACCCCACGTTAGTCTATTGTAATATAATACAATGTGTTCTAAATTTTGCTTCTTTTCGCACTTTCTTTTCTTTTCTTTTTTTTATCACTCTTCGTATTTTTAACATTGTCTTGAATCATTTTGCGTGCAATTTATTTCTGTTGATTCTGACTTTTCTTTTTTTCTCTCCTAAAGTTATCTTTGTCATTTTTGTTATACCAATATATAATATCTAAATATCCCATATCTAATCTTCAAACTATAGCCCAAAGAATTTAAAACAATGAAAATAACAGTTAAAGATAGAATTTACACCTAAATCATGAAAGAAAAAGAAAAGAAACACTTGATAACTCACGATTAAATTTGCACAATCTTGTTAAATTTGGCATCTTAACATTCCAGAGAAATGCCGGATAAGCCAGGAAAAGAGGATCTCAATTATTTAATTCAACAAATTATAAGAATGTAAAATAAAATAAAAAAACAGTACATACATATATTTCATTTTGTAAAGTTCAATGTTCTGTAAGCCACAGTTTAAAGTTTAGAACGTTCCTTGTATACTTGACTGTTTTAGCACATGCTACTGTAATTTCTTCACAGTATCAGTGTACTTACTACACTCTCGTTCTTCTACATGCCTGCTTAGTGTTTGTTACGCCACGTAAAAAAGAATTAGAAAAAAAACAACCTGGAAAATAAAAGAGGTTACGCATTGAAAACCTGAAAACCAGGGGTCATCTCGAACTTTCACGCGATTGTAATATTGAATTGGAAACGTACAAGAAATTGAATTCGAAATATTTATAATAATGTTATTAAACAATTAGGTGGTAATACGCTATGTTATAAGTGTGAAAATTCTAGTATTAAGTAAACAGCACAAAATGAAATGCTTATAATAAGGTAGAGAGCGAAATATACAAGTAGAAACGAAGATTGACTAACCACTGAGCTTTTCACTTCTTCAAAATGTGAACGATGATAATCTGTTTGTGTTAAAAAAAAGTAATAAAAGAAACGAAGCTCAATTAGTCTCGCTATTTCTCTATTACAATTATAGATGCATATCTGGAAAATATGTTAATCTTTAGGTGACGTGTTTAGTAGGAAATTCTGAACTTGAAGAGACCCCTGTTGGCTCAGTGGTAAACTTGATAAACTAAAATCCGAAGTTCGATTCCCTGCGGTGGACAGCGTAGAATGCCCATTGTGTAGCTTTTATAACACTAAAATCCGAAGTTCGATCCCGTCCGGTGGACAGCGTAGAATGCCCATTGTGTAGCTTTTATAACACTAAAATCTGAAGTTCGATCCTGTGCGGTGGACAGCGTAGAATGCCTATTGTGTAGCTTTGCGTTTAACAGCAAAAAAAGAAAAGAAACAAAAACGGCATGAAAATTGTTTATTTCGTTTTTAAGCATTTTCATCAAAAATACGTGAATATGACTTTGATACATTATTTCAAGGCTTATAGCGCATGTATGAAATATATATATATCCATTTACCCTAACGCAAGTAATAGAATAAAAATATAATTACCTAAATATTTTGATAAAGGCGACAAGCTATCTGCAAACATTAAGTAAGTTTTGTAACTATTTGTAAAATAACGTGGAAAAAAAAACTTATTATTATAAAAAAGATCGAGAAAAGAATCGCGCGTTTCACATCTGTAGGAAGGAATTTGAATATTATGCTAAATCACCGTAAAGAAACTGTTCTCAGA